GAGGCTGACAAACTGCAGCCTTCAGGCTGGCCACCTGTTTTTGCAAATATCATCTTCTTGGAATGCGGCCATTCCCATGTTCATGCAACGTCTCTGGCTGTTCTGTGGCACCACAGAAGCTGACTGGCTTCCTCAGAGACCAAGTGGCCTGCAAGCCTAGAATATTTACCGTCTGGCCCTTTAAGACACAGTTCACCAACACTTGATCCAGACTATCAGAAGTTGCCAGATAATCATGGCTTTACAGCAAGGAGAGTTGGATGAATTTAAGAGATAGTATAATCAAACTATGCCTGAAACTTCCTTCACCATTCTAGAATTATACTTGAATTCAGTAGAATTCTTGAGTCCTGTTAGATCTTGGTTTGGAGCTCTCTTTTTAAAAACCTTTCTTTATGGTCTTTGTTTCAAATTCTATTTTGTCTGAGTATTGTGACCCCTGCTTCCTTGTCATATTCACTTGCATGAATTATCTTTCTTCATCCCTTCACTTTCAATCTATGTGCGTCCTTTGCCCTAAAGTGGTTCTCTTGTATACAGCATATTGTAGGCTCTTGGGTTGTTTTTTTTTTTTTAATCCAATCTGCTACTCTGTGTCTTTTAATTGGAGCATTTAGTCCAATTGATATTTAAGGTAATTTTTTAAAATTTATTTTTATTTACTTGACTGCACAGATTTTAGTTGTGGCACATTGCATCTTTAGTTGCACCAGGTAGGATCTGTTTCCCTGGTCAGGGATTGAACCTGGGTCCCCTGAATTGGGAACACAGAGTCATAGCCACTGGACCATCAGAGAAGTCCCCAAGGTAATTATTGATAGATTTCTTGCCATTTTAAACCTAGTTTACCAGCTGATTTTATATTTCTTCTTGTTCCTTTCTTTTTCCTTTTGTGATTTGATGATTTTCTTTTGCATTATCCTTGTGGTCTCTTCTTTTTCATTTTTGTGAAGGTATTGTGTGTTTTTGATTTGTGGTAATCTTGTTTTTCGAGGATGTTAACCCATTACTATATCTACTTCCTTTAGACTGATAGTCATGTAGGCTCAAGCACATTCTAAAATATATACACAAACATATATATGTGTACATTTTCTTACTCTCATTCACCACATTGTATGATTTTGATGTCCTCTTGTACATATTCATGTTTGTCCTTCTGCTATTCATTTTGGTTATCATCACTTTGACAAATTAAAAAAATTTTTTAAAAATCTGTACCCTGGCTTACTTAAATGATTTACTTTCCAACTGTGATTTTCTCTTTCCTTTAGATTCTTGTTTCTTTTCTATTTGGAGACCTTTCAATATTTCTTCTATGATAGGTTTAGTATTGCGGTATTCTTTCAGTTTTTGCTTATCCTAGAAACTCTTTAACTCTCCTTCTGTTCTAAATGATGATCTTGCTGGGTAGAGTATCCTAGATTCCTTTCAGGACTTTATCTTCCCTTCTGGTCTGCGACATTTCTGAAGAGAAATCAGCTGAGAGCCTTATGGGGGTTCCTGTAATTAACTCTTTGTTTTTTCTTGCTGCCTTTAGAATCTTCTCTTTAACTTTTACCATTTTAACTACAATACTTCTTGGTGTAGATCTGTTTGGGTTCATCTTGTTTGAGATCCTCTGTGCTTCTTTTTTTTTTTTTTCCCTCTGTGCTTCTTATAGGGGACTGGAATGTAAAAGTAGGAAGTCAAGAAACATCTGGAATAACAGGCAAATTTGGCCTTGGAGTACAGAATGAAGCAGGGCAAACGCTAAGAGTTTTGCCAAAAGAACGCAATGATCATACCAAACACCCTCTTCCAACAACACAAGAGAAAACTCTACAGATGGACATCACCAGATGGTCAACACCAAAATCAGATTGATTATATTCTGTGCAGCCAAAGATGGAGATGCTCTATATAGTCAGCAAAAACAAGACCGGGAGCTGACTTTGGCTCATATCATGAGCTCCTTATTGCCAAATTCAGACTTAAATTGAAGAAAGTAGGGAAAACCACTAGACCATTCAGGTATGACCTAAATCAAATCCCTTATGATTATACAGTGGAAGTGAGAAATAGACTTAAGGAACTAGATCTGATAGACAGAGTGCTTGATGAACTATGGATGGAGGTTCGTGACATTGTACAGAAGACAGGGATTAAGACCATCCCCTTGGAAAAGAAATGCAAAAAAGCAAAATGGCTGTCTGAGGAGGCCTTACAAATAGCTGTGAAAAGAAGAGAAGCAAAAAGCAATGGAGAAAAGGAAAGATATTCCCAACTGAATGCTGAGTTCCAAAGAATAGCAAGGAGAGATAAAAAAGCCATTAATCCTCAGTGATCAATGCAAAGAAATAGAGGAGAACAACAGAATGGGAAAGACTAGCGATCTCTTCAAGGAAATTAGAGATACCAAGGGAACATTTCATGCAAAGATGGGCGTAATAAAGGACAGAAATGGTATGGACCTAACAGAAGTAGAAGATATTAAGAAGAGATGGCAAGAATACACAGAAGAACTGTACAAAAAAGATCTTCATGACCCAGATAATCACAATGGTGTGATCACTCACCTAGAGCCAAACATCCTGTAATGTGAAGTCAAGTGGGCCTTAGAAAGCATAACTACAAAGAAAGCTAGTGGAGGTGATGGAATTCCAGTTGAGTTATTTCAAATCCTGAAACATGATGCTGTGAAAGTGCTGCACTCAATATGCCAGCAAATTTGGAAAACTCAGCAGTGGCCACAGGACTGGAAAAGGTCAGTTTTCATTCCAATCCCAAAGAAAGGCAATGAATGCAAAAGAATGCTCGAACTTCCACACAATTGCACTCATCTCACACGCTAGTAAAGTAATGCTCAAAATTCTCCAAGCCAGGCTTCAGCAAAACATGAACCGTGAACTTTCAGATATTCAAGCTGGTTTTAGAAAAGGCAGAGGAACAAGAGATCAAATTTCCAACATCCGTGGGCTCATTGAAAAACAAGAGAGTTCCAGAAAAACATCTATTTCTGCCTTATTGACTATGCCAAAGCCCTTGGCTGTGTGGATCACAAAAAACTGTCAAAAACTCTCAAAGAGATGGGAGTACCAGACCATCTGACCTGTCTCTTGAGAAACCTGTATGCAGCCCAGGAAGCAACGGTTAGAACTGGACATGGAACTACAGACTGGTTCTAAATAGGAAAAGGAGTACCACAAGGCTGTATATTGTCACCCTGCTTATTTAACTTATATGCAGAGTACATCATGAGAAACACTGGGCTGGAGGAAGCACAGGCTGGAATCAAGATTGCCGGGAGAAATATCAATAACCTCAGATATGCAGACAACATCACCCGTATGACAGAAAGTGAGGAGGAACTAAAAAACCTCTTGATGAAAGTGAAGGAGGAGAGTGAAAAAGTTGGCTTAAAGCTCAACATTAAGAAAACTAAGATCATGGCATCTGGTCCCATCACTTCATGGGAAATAGATGGGGGAACAGTGGAAACAGTGGCAGACTTTATTTTTTGGGCTCCAAAATCACTGCAGATGGTGATTGCAGCCATGAAATTAAAAGACGCTTACTCCTTGGGAGGAAAGTTATGACCAACCTGGATAGCATATTAAAAAGCAGAGACACTACTTTGTCAACAAAGGTCCATCTAGTCAAGGCTATGGTTTTTCCAGTGGTCATGTATGGGTGTGAGAGTTGGACTGTGAAGAAAGCTGAGCACCGAAGAATTGATGCTTTTGAACTGGTGTTGGAGAAGACTCTTGAGAGTCCCTTGGACTGCAAGGAGATCCAACCAGTCCATCCTAAAGGAGGTCAGTCCTGAATATCCATTGGAAGGACTGATGCTGAAGCTGAAACTCCAATACTTTGGCCACCTCATGTGAAGAGTTGACTCATTGAAAAGACCGTAATGCTGGGAAGGATTAGGGGAAGGAGAGAAGAGGACAACAGAGGCTGGATGGCGTCACCGACTTGATGGACATGGGTTTGGGTAAATTCCAGGAGTTGGTGATGGACAGGGAGGCCAGGCGTGCTGCGATTCATGGGGTGGCAAAGAGTCAGACACAACTGAGCAACTCAACTGAACTGAACTGTGCTTCTTGTACCTGGATATCTGTTTCCTTTTTTAGATTTGGGAAGTTTTCGGTCATAATTTCTTCAAATACGTTTTGATACCGTTTCTCCTTCTAGGACCATTATTATTCACAGATTGGCATGCTTTATATTACCCCATAGGACTTTTATATTGCTTTCATATGTCTTTGTTTCTATTCTTCCAGATCACTTATTCATTCTTCTGCATTATTCAATCTATTTATTGCCTTTAGCTCAATTTTTGTCTTGGAAAGTGAATTTTTCTTGGCTCCTCTTTAAAGTTTTTAGTTCTTTTTTTACAGTAATCTGTGTTTTTATCAGCAGCTTTTCTTAATTCCTTCAGTATTTTTATTATCTCCTTTTTGAATTCTGTGTCTTTTAGACTGAAGAGGTCTGCTTCATTGTCTGTTCTTTCAGGGGAATCCTCTTGTTCTTTTATTTGAGAGTGGTTCCTCTGCTTCTTCGTTTTGCTTATAATTCTCTTATTCCATGAGTTTAGGAGAAACGATTATCTCTTGTGGTCTTGAAGGGCTATTTTTATGTGGGAGTGTCCTTGTGTAGCCTGTGTGGGTTTAATATTTTTGCTGTGAGGGCTATTTTTAGTATGGATGCCTGTCACTTCTTTCTTCAGTGTGGAGCATCAAACCTAGTTTTCACAATCTAATTGGTGAGAAATGTGCTGTACAGGGTTTAAATTTGCATTTGTTTGGTTACTAGTGAGTTATGCATATTTTTTTGTCTATTATCAACTTATATTTCTTCTTTTGTAAATTGTCTGTTGGATGCATTTTTATTAGATGCCTAAACTTTCCTTATTGATTTATAATAATTCTCTATATATTTAAGATATTAACATTTTGTATGTCACAAATACTGCAAATATTTATTCTTAGTTTGTCACTTCTTTTAAAATTGCTTTCATGGTATCTTTTAAAAAAATTCTTTGTAAGAAATTTTACTTCCATGTGGCTTTAGTGATAAAGAACCCACCTGCCAGAGCAGGAGACACAAGAGAGGCAAGTTCAATCCCTGGGTTGGGAAGATCCCCTGGAGAAGGAAATGGCAACCCACTCCAGTATTCTTGCCTGGAGAACCTCATGGACAGAGAAGCCTGGTGGGCTACAGTCCATGGGGTCACAAAGAGGCGGACACAACTGAGCACACACATTAATGAGTTTTACACCCACACTGCCTATATCAGGTTTCCATGTAACCTCTCCCAGTTGATAATCCTCCCAAGGTAAACACTACTCTGATAAAGCTTTAGCTTTTGATATAGTAAAACTTTAGCTTTCATAGTTTGTACCTTTGGGTCATGTTTTAAAATAATTACTCCTGCATGCATCCTCAGTCATTTCTGTCATGTCCGACTCTTTGTGACCCTATGGGCTGTAAACCACCAGGCTCCTCTGTTCACAGGGATTTTCCAGGCAAGAATACTGGAGTGGGTTGCCATGCCCTCCTCCAGGGGATCTTCCCAACCCAGGGATTGAATCTGCTTCTCTTATATTTCCTGCATTGGCAGGCAGGTTCTTTGCCACTAGGGCTTTCCTGGTAGCTCAGCTGATGAAGAATCCGCCTGCAGTGCAGGAGAACCCAGTTCGATTCCCAGGTTGGGACGATCCCCTGGAGAAGGGATAGGCTACCCACTCCAGTGTTCTTGGGCTTCCCTGGTGGCTTAGATGGTAAAGAATCTGCCCACAATGCGGGGTTCAGTCTCTGGGTCATGAAAATCCCCTGGAGAGGGGAATGGCTACTCACTCCTATATTTTTGCCTGGAGAATCCCCATGGGCAGAGGAGCCTGGCAGGCTATAGTCCATGGGGTCGTGAAGAATCTGACAGGACTGAGTGGATAAGCACAGCGCCACCCGGGAAGCTCATTCCTCTACTCATAATTATATAAATATTCACTGATGTGTTATTCTGGCACTTTAGTTATGTCATTTATATTGAAATCTTTATTTAATCCAGCTGAAATCTATTCTAATGTAAACAAGAGAGAAGGATCAAACTCCCCTATCTGTTCCTTCAAGGCTATTACCCAGCATTATTTGTTAACAAGTTAACATCATTTATAAACTAGTCAACACCATCTCCATGAGTTAAAACATTCTTTATATATTCTACTCTCTTGCTTTACTTGCCAATTTCTGCACCAGTATCTCAGCATTTTAAATATAGCTCCAGGTCTTAATATCTCCTGAAGTAAATATTGCTTTGTTATTTTCTTTCAAACCTTTCTTAGTTATTATTTCTCATTTATTCTCCAGAAAACCTTTAAAATCATTTTGTGAAATTAGCTCCCCACATCCCATGAAAAAGTTGAAATCTTAATTGGTTACATTGAGTTTACATATTAATTTATTTTTAAAATTTTTATATATTGATTTTTTTGGCCTCACTGAGAAGTATGCAGGATCTTAGTTACCCAACCCGGGACTGAACCCATGCTCCCTGCAGTGGAAGCATGGAACCCTAACCACCAGACTGCCAGGGAATTCCCTACATAATAATTTAAAAAACACTGATACCTTTACATTATTATATATTTATTCAAAACTTTATGTTCCTTAATAACTTCTCAAAGTTTTCATCATATAGACCTTGAACAGTCCTGTTTCCCAAATTAGGATTTTATGTTTTCTGATGATATTATATTAGCATCTTTGTGACATTTTCTGATTACTGACATACAGGAAATACATACATTTTATTATGTACAAATATAAATATTATTATACACACATATCTTGTCATCTTGCTAAACTATCTCATTAGTTTGAAAGGTTTTTATTTAGTGGGTAGCATATCATTTGAAAATAATATTTATTTCAACCAATATTTCTACATTTTATTTAGTTTCTTACTTTTATTATACTATTTAGAACTTAGAGAACAATGTTTAATGTTTTGCTGTTACAAGTGGCATCCTTGTGTTTAATGAGAATGCCTCTAGTTCATTTTTCTTAACATCCCTAAAACACTCAAGGGTTCTAATTCATTAAATTTGAGGTGACACCCAGGCAATTGCATCCTGTTAATTGCACAAATAATATTGAAGCATGCTCCCAATATGTCATTAGGATGGTAGCCTAGCATTTTTCCATTAAATATAATTCAATATAGTCTGCATTATTTTTCATATTATGGAATTATTGTTTCACCAAAGGTTTATTAAGAGTTATTAATTGGGAGTTTGGGATTTAATAAAATGTCTTCTCAGCATCTCAATGATCCTCCCTTCAGGATAAAACATAAAAACATCTGTTCAAAGGCACCAGAGAACACCCAAAATAGGACTTAAGAGGCCAGGTTTCTGGAGAGAGAAAACTCATTTGGGTGAACTTGATATTTTATGCCATTTTTCTCTTGAGATATCTTTCAGTGTTTAAGCAGAGGTCAAGAAGTTGAATAAGGAGCAGTAACCAAGAGAATGGGAAGCTTTTCAGTGCTTTTGACAGACTTAGACCAGGGAGAAAAGCACTGCTCAGGAGGACAGGTACTGTCAAATATTTCAGGCTTTCCACAGGGACCTGTGACAGTTAACTTTTTATGTTCACTTGGCTAGGCGACAGTATCCAGATATTTGGTCAAGTACTAACTGAGGTATTTCTGTGAAGGTATTTTTTAAAGATGAGATTATCATTTACATCAGTAGACTTTGAATAAGGCAGAGTATCTTCCACAATGTGGGTGGTTCCCATCCAATCAGATGGCCTAAATAGAAAAAGATTGATCTTCCCGAAAGAAGAAATTCTGCCAGCAGACCATCTTTGGAGTCATGCTGCAATTCTTTTTTGGGTCTGCAATCTGCTGGCTGTATGTATACAGACACACACACTCTCTCTCTTTCTTTCTCTCAATTTTGATTCTATTTCTTTGGACAACCCTAACTAATACTAGTCCCATGAAAAATTATGCTCTAGAGAATAAGGGCAAGCCAGAAATAGACCAGGCCTTACAAAGACTGAACCCCAGCTTAAAATGAGTTCAATTCCAGATTAGAATAAGGTGATCTCTAACTATCTGCAAAAATCTAGAGTAAATTCTCTCTAGAGGAAGATAATACTTTTGAAAGCCCGTACAAATATTTGTCTACAGTATCTGGCATTCAATTTAAAAATTATCAGAAATACCAGGAAATAGGACTGAAAGAGAAAAAGCCTACAACAGAAACAGGTCACTGATGACCTGTATCTTGAAAAGCAGGAAAAACACAAAAAAGAGAAATTTGGATGTGGTGAAAAGTTTTAATATGTGTAAATGTAATCCTTGAAGGAGAAGAGAGAAAGAATGAGATGAAAAAGAATATTTGAAAAATAATGGCCAAGAAATTTCCCAAGCAGGTGAAATACATTAAGCTACAGATTCAAGAAGTACTCTATATCCCAAATAGGATAAATACAAAGAACATCATTCCTTTGGTACATCATAGTGAAACCAGGAAATGCCAGGAGCAGGGTGGGTGGGAAAATCTAAGATCAAGAGAACAATTTAAAAGCAATGGGGTGAAATGTGATACCTTCAAAAGAACAGCAAAAAGACTTAACAGCTGACTTTTCACAACGGCATGACATCTTTAAAACTCTGAATTGATGCAGTTTATAATTATATAATCTGTGAAATATTCCAGAAAATGAAGGCAAAAAATAAAGACATTTCCAGAGATGCTAACACTGTGATAATTGCCTTAAGGAGAACTCCTCAGGCAGAAGGAAAATTATCCCAGTAGGAAGCACACAGATTCAGGAAGGAATGAAGAACAATGAAAAGGGTTGGTGTTGCATAAATCTGCATGAATATTACTTATACAAAGCAAAAGTAAAAATGTCTTGTGAGCTTTAAAATATATGCAGAATTATAACATGCAACAACAGTAATAGTGAAGTCAAGAGGGGGTAAATGGAGTCGAAGTATTTTAGGTTTCTTGCATTGTCTTGGGAAGAGAAAATTCTATTTTGCGTGAAATGTTAATAAGTTAAGGATGAATGTTATAATATCTAGGGTAATCTCTAAAAGAAAAAGAATGTATAACTAATAAGCTAAAAGAAGAGAAAACAACTGGAATAATAGAACATACTCCATTAATTCAAAGGAAATCAAGAAAGGCCAGAAGGAAGATAAACAGGTAGGAAAGATAGAAAACAAATTGTAAGATGCTAACTTTATGCCCAGACATATCAGTAATTATGTTAAATTTAAACTGGATAAATATTCCTATTTAAAGATAAAAATTGCTTGACTGCATATTTGATGATATTAAATCAACAGTAATCAATCCTGCTTATAAGAGATATGCCTTAAATGTAAGGATTCAGTAAAATTGAAAGTAAGAAGCCCTAATTAAAAGAATGTTTTACTAATATCAAAGTAGGTTTTTAAGGCAAGGAGCAGTCCTAAAGATAAAGAAACATTTTATAATAAAAATGGGTCAGTCCACCAGAGAAATCCACAGTTATATGGAATTATAACAATTTCACAATTATGCACACCTAGCACACACACACAGGGCAAAACTTAACCAAACAAAAAGAAGAAAGACACAAATTTGCAATCACATTGAAAGATTTTTAACACAGGAAAGTCAGTAACTTAGAAAAAGGTGACAAAAAGATCAGGAAGGATTTAGAGGATTTGGACAACATGATTAACTCTCATCTGTGTACAGAATGTTGAGTGAATGTTTTTTGTTTCCCTGAATCGTTGCTATGGCCCCTACTGCGAACAGCAAGCTACAGGAGATGGCCAAAAAGCAGAGCCCAATTCCTCTCCCAGGGCTTACTGAGAGGCAGCTCAACCACCCTGCTTTCTGGGAGCAGCACCCCTGCCCCCCACTCGGAGCCGCCAGACACCTACGTGAGAAAGCTAGAGAGAGACTTGAGCTTCGCAGTTGGAGCCCTCAGCCTTGGAGGGAGAGCAGTGCTAGGGGAGGGGGAGTTCTCTCCTTTCTCTGCGGGGAGGGGAGGGCTGCTCAGTCCATGGAATTCTCCAGGCCAGAATACTGGAGTGGGTAGCCTTTCCTTTCACCAGGGGATCTTCCCAACCCAGGGATCGAACCCAGGTCTCCCACATTGCAGGCGGACTCTTTACCAGCTGAACCACCAGGGAAGCCCAAGAATACTGGAGTGGGTAGCCTGTCCCTTCTGCAGCGGATCTTCCCGACCCAGGAATCGAACCGTGGTCTCCTGCATTACAGGTGGGTTCTTTACCAACTGAGCTATCAGGGAAGCCCCAGAAGGTCCAGGGCCCACAATAATTCTCCTTTTGGGGGTCTGCTGGTGCAGAGCTGTACTGATCTGCTCCAAGTCCACCTGAGTGGGCTTTGCGGGAAGGCGATGAGATAGGTCAGACAGTGGGGAGGTCTATGGAGAAGACTGGACACCCCCATCTGGGATGTTCTTACAGGTCCAACGGGCACAGGGAAGGTGGTTGGGCTTAAGCCTTCTTGCCAATATGTAAGCAAGAGAAAGACTGTGGGTGGTCCCCTGGAGAATGTATCCCTAGAATGGGGCTAAGGGTGAGTGAAAGCATTTGAACTAGACCAGATTCCCCAGATCAAGGAAGGGTGCTGTTTAGGTGTTGGCAGGGGGGCAGCGGCGGTTTGCACACAGCATGCTGAAAACCCCACATGCGATCACAATGAGAAAGACAGTGCTAAACGGAGACATGACGGCCAAAGAAAGAACTCTGAAACCTACCAACCAATTAAGTAAGAAGACACGTGCCCTTTTCCTGCCCGCTCTCAGGGACGACCCCAAGTCTGGAGGAGCTAGAAACAGACCTTACCCCCTCTCCACTTTCTAGGGGTCCTGAGCCTTGGGCCGGACTGGAAGGTGCCCCGGGATCCCTGTTCCTTCCCTTACTTATCATTAGGCAGTTCCCTCTCCCACTCCTTCCAGGCAAACTCTAGCAGTATGGTGCCCCAGGTCACTATTTTGAGCCTAGGAGACAAGAGAAACTAGATGGGAGGGTTGGGGGAAGGACAATTGGAGGGCTTTAAAAGTAGAGCTGGTAGCCTCCTTGCTGGATTGCTCTTTACTCCCCAACACTTTAGGCGCGCCCACTCAGAAGGGGGGCTTTGAAATGACAGACACCTGCCAGCCCATTTCATTTTGTGATCAGAGCAGTGGTTTCCCTGGGATGGGCCTCAGCATATAGGGACATCATCGAGCCTGGGCTGTCAGGATCCTCTGCCCATCTCTCTAAAAAGGCAAGGATGTTCCCCTGCAAGACTGGAGCCCCAGAGGATGATTTGGAACAAACTACTGGCCTCGGACCACACTATTATTTTTATTATTGCTGTTATAGATAGCTGCCATTTATTGATTGTGGTTTACAAATTGTACTAGGCCCTGTGTATTCATTCCCTTATCTAAACATGGTATTTTCTACATTGTATAGGGGTGAGAACTTTGAAGCTGTAAGGCATTTATTGAAGTGATGTAATAAACAAGTGAGGAAGCCAGGAATCCATCCCAGTCTAGCTTTGAAGCCTGCCCTTAACCTCAGCATTTCGGCCTCCCCTAGTGCTGAGGGGAAAAAATATATATATTTGCAATTTGGTATTAGCTGAGAACTAAGCAATGGCACCCCACTCCAGTACTCTTGCCTGGAGAATCCCATGGACGGAGGAGACTGGTAGGCTGCAGTCCATGGGGTCGCTAAGAGTCGGACACGATTGAGCGACTTCACTTTCACTTTTCACTTTCATGCATTGGAGAAGGAAATGGCAACCCACTCCAGCGTTCTTGCCTGGAGAATCCCAGGGACGGGGGAGCCTGGTGGGCTGCAGTCCATGGTGTCACACACACAGAGTCGGACATGACTGAAGTGACTTAGCAGCAGTAGTGTCCTGAAAGGGCGGTCTCCCATAACAACATAATGCACATAACTTAGAGTCAGCCTTAATTTTCAAAATGTTCCTGAGTAGCCAAAGTAACTTTTAATAAGTCAAATGAAGCAACTGTGAAAAACCAAAATAGTAAGAGGCTACTTAGGACCTCATAAAAATTAAGGTTCAAGATACATTTTTCACTATCTTTAAAATATTTTACTTTAGCGGGGAGGAGAAAAAGGGGTTGAGGAAGAGTAAGAGATACAAATTTTCAGTTACAAATTAAATCTCACAGGTATGAAATGTACAGTGTGGGAAATATAGTCAATAATATGTAATACCTTTGTATGGTAGATGACAACTAGCTTTATCATGGTGGTCATTTTGAAATGTATAGAAATATCAAGTCACTATGATGTACACCAGGAACTAACAGTGTTGGAGATCAATTATTCAAAAGTAAACAATGGAACAAGCTCGTAGAAAAAAGAGTTCAGATGTATGGTTACCAGAGGTGGGGGAGGGCGGGATTTGAAGGAAGGTGATCAAAAGGTACAGACCTTCAGTTATAAGATAAATAAATTCTACAGAAGTAATGTACAACATGAGAAAGATAAATAACACTGTTCTATGTTACAAATGAAAGTCGTTAAGAGTGACAACTCTCCCAAGTAACACTTAAGACTTCTCATCACAAGGAAAAAATATTTTTTTCCATTTCTTCAGTCTTTACACTCTCCCAAGTGAATTATTTTGACTGCCTTTTCCTTTCCTTTAATGCTGTATTTATGTGAGATGATGGATGTTCACTTAATCTATTGTGGTCATCATTTCATGCAATCATTTCATGCAATGATTTCAAGTCAAATCATTATGCTATACACCTTAAACTTATACAGGGCTGTACATCAATTATATGTCAATACACCTGGGATAATCTATTATCTTGTGGTGAGTATGGAATCTGGCAATAAGGTAGACTCTAGAAAAGGTTTGTGAGTGGTTATCTTGGAAAGTGTGTTTGTGTGGGACCAAATGCAGAATAACATCTAGGAAGTTCACTTCCTCCAGCTCTCTGACCATGAGGTCAACAGTCCCCGTTGTTATAAATATGAGGTCTGTCTCCTACTAGAGCCCAGTTATGGTCCATCACTGCCTAATTTTAACACTTCAGCTAAGTAAAGCATCCATGGGGACTTTTTGCCCTTGAATTTTTAATGTTCCTTCTGAATGATGGGTTCTAATCCCCATCTTTATGAATTGTGCTTATTGTTTATTATTTCACTCTTTGGATTTAGTTCTGTTTAGATAGATCCAGAGTCTAGCTTATTTTCCTTAAATAAGGATAACTTATGCTTCCCCTAACTCAAATTAAGTCTATTTTTTTAAATTGGTCTTTCTAACTAAATTCTATGCCACCTTGTTAACAATTCATGCAATTCTGGGATTCTCAAATCAGCATTTGACATAAAGAGCAGATGGTCTTCAAACAACAATGCCACCACAGGTCACTGCTACAATGTTTGCCCTACAGTGGCAAGAATAATATGAAATTGTCTGCAACTTTCATTGACCTTTCCTCAGTCTGGGCCATGGACAAATTGATTTGGCACTGCTATTCCACTTCATGGGCCAGAGTGGGGGGAACAACTTTCCTGAGGGCTGATCCAGGCTGATTTCTGACACCAGTACTTTTCCACTCATTAAAAAACAAAAACAAAAACCTGATACTATCTTTGGATGAGTTAGTTGCACAGCCCCTTGCGATAAAAAAAGAAAAGGAGGTATTCTTTTTTTTACTGTGGTGAGATGGCTTTTTTTCCTGGACAAAGAATTGTCTACATATACAACAGTTTTTATTAGTTAAGGGCAGAGAAGGGCTACAGATCAAAATCTCTAACAATAAAGTTATTACCTAAGAAGGTAGTCCCATGTTATTCCCAAGTTCATAAATGAGGAGACAACCACGTTGTTCAAAATTTGATTCCCCAAATTTGCTGTCCAAAATCTCTCTGTGGTTACTGCAAGTCCCTTTTCGACCGTAAAGTGGGAATCTATGTATTTAGTGGGCCAAGAGCTCTCTTACTCCACCTTGGTGAGCTGTGCTAAAACAAAAGTCATTTGAAAGTCAGAGTCTCAGATCTTACTTAGCCACCAATAAAGAAAGGCAGCTAAATTCCAGATACTTGCCAAAGATTACAATTCCAAGTTCACTGTCACTAAATATTTATTAAAATATCACCAGAGAAACTTGGAGTTGTTTAAAATCTATGCAGTCCATCTGAGCCTTCAAATATGACAAAATACATCCCTAGGTTAACCAGATTAAAAGACAACTAGGTATCTGAGCTGAACTATATATACTGCCTGTCTCCATTCCCCATTTTTCCAGTAGAATTACTTTTACAACATATTGTGCTTTAATGAGATGCCATCTTCTATATGAATAAAAATGTGCTGTTTGGGTTTATTACACAAATGTTTCTATTATTTATGACATCACATATCATGTGACCTATCCATGGGAATGTAAGTGATCATTTTACTTTTTTGCTCTATTACTGTATCTACTTTGTTGTACGCTTATATTCTATATTCCTTTGCCTCTACCATCAATTTATTTTTTCTTTGCAGTATTTTACATATCCTGGAAAGCCTTTCTACTAGGTTCAGAGCCTAACATGGTGTTTGGCACTTAGTAGTAAATATTTGCTCAAAGAATGAAAACTGGAATACAAAATAATTACATAGAGTATAAATTAAATTGTAAAAGTGGAATATAAATGATGAAAACATTCATTTCTCGCTGGCGTGGGTTTCGTCAATACGCAGGCAAAGAATTGGTGCCCTTTCTGCACACACTGACCAATTATGAAGAAACTTATTTCATGGGAGTATAATTTCTTTAGTGCTCCCCAGGCGGCTCATTAGTAAAGAACCCACCCACCAGGGCAGAAGACGTGGGTTCAGTCCTGGGGTGGGAAGATCTCCTGGAGAAGGAAATGGCAACCCACTCCAGTATTCTTGCCTGGGCCATCCCATGGACGGAGGACCCTGTGGGCTACAGTCCAGGGGGTCACAAAGAGTAGTGTGTGACTGAGCAACTAAACAACAACATAGTTTCTTTAATTTACTCCGTTAGTTTTCTCCCTGAGGGCAGAGTATAACATTTACTTCCTG